CTTGCTCAGGAAATCCGGCCCCCGGGGGGGCAGAGTGAGGTTGCCTCTGGGACGGGTGCATAGGCAGGAGGCGTCAGTTTGCCTGGCAGGGCTGGCACAGGGAGGTAGTGTGGTGCCATTGCAGCACAGCCCCCTCGGGCAGAGCACATGCTGTAACCGCACAATGAGGGAAACCAAGGCTAGCCTGCCCTGGGGGTGATGAAAGCTGCGTTCCCAGCCCAAACCCTATCAGCACAAGGGTGTCGGGGGCCCTGGGTGGAGTCCTGAGCAGGGGTCAGGAAGGCCCACCCCCTTCAAGGGTCCCGGGGCAGAGCAACAAGTGGAGGAACGGGGGTGGGGGGGGACGGACATCAGGAAGGACTTACCACAGGAACCCGCAGCCATAGAGATCTGTGATGTCCTTTGGGGGTGCCAGAGCGAGTGAAAGATATTGCAAATAGAATCTTCACTGGTCACTTATCAGGGCTCATGCAGAACCATGGGTCTCAGGACATGATGGAGATGGGGACCTGGAGACTGGCTGGATCCATGACCCAGCCCTCCTCTCCCTGGCCTCGGGGGCAGGGGGCGCCTCCCCAAGCCCAGCTGCCACCTCCCCTCCATTGAGGCCAAGGGCACTGCCTGCCCCTCTAGACTGGCCAATGCCATCCTGGCTCCCGAGGGCTGGTCTAGCTACCACAGCTCTGAAGGGTGTTTTGTTGAATGAATCACTGAGTGGCATTGAAGGATGGGGACTCTGCCCAGATGGGAGCCTATCCTTGAAGGGCCTGTGACCGCCCAGGAGCCTGAGGAGGGTCCCCCTCCCTGTCTTTCCCTGTCCTGGGGCTCTCACCCTGCTCCAGGCACCTTGTTCCTCCCTGTGCCGGGCCCACCTTCTCACCTCTCCTTCAGGCTATGTATTGTATCTGGAGATGAGGTCACAGCTCTGCATTTGCCAGATTTGCACTGATGGAGGTTAGAGAGCACCGTCTGGGCCTGTGGGTGGGTCAGGCAGGGGCTGCACCAGAGCAAACCTCCCTCCCTTGACCCCTGCCTCAGGGGAGGGCGTGAGGCCTTTTCTTAGAGGACCTCTTCCTCCTATATTTGCATACAGTGGCAGAGGGGCTGGGGGAGGGGTTATGGAGTGACTGCTAATGGGGTTTCTTTGTGGATTGTGAGAATATTCTAGACATAGATAGAGGTGGTAGTTGCACAACATCGTGTGAGTGCAAAAGGCCACTGAAATTGTTCACTTTAAAACGGTAAATTTTGTTATACAAATTTCACCTAAATTTTAAAAATGAATGTTTTATTGGAATTACACTAAACGGACAAACCTAATGTGGATAAGCTGGCTCCCAGACAGGATCTCATCTCTCAGGAGGGGGTTGCAGGGATGTCCCTGTACTCATTTCTCCAGCTTTTTTCCTCATGGCACACGCATGTTCGTTCCAGATCACAGCTGAGCCACCCATGGTGGGGCGGGGGCTGCCCGCTTGCTGTTCTGATTGAGGTGGATTCCCCTTTTATCTTCTAAGTGGTCAGGGCAGCAGCAGCCCTCATTGATTTTTGTGTCTCTGGCCTCTTACGAAAGGCAGCCTTTATCACCTTGCAGAGATTTGCCTCATCCTGTCCCCCCAACTTTATCCCTGCAGTTCTCAGTCAGTTTGTTTGTTTGTTTGTTTGTTAAGAAATAAACCTAGAGGGTGTGTGAGTGATGCAGGCACTGCCTTCTCATCCTAGACTCTCCCGCAGCGTCCTCTGGATGGTTCCCTAGCGTGTGCTGGGGCTGGGCCGCATTCAGGACATGCCTCCACACGGGCCCTATACTCTGCGGACCAGGTGGCTTAGGCACTTGGAGGTTGTCAGTTGCCCTTCTTGGCCTAACCTACTCTGGCCTCCTGCATCAGCAGCTTGGAGCAGAGCCTGTCCCTCGGAGCTTGGCTGGGCTGCCCAAGTGCCTACCTGTCCCGGCTGCTCTAACAGCTGGATTCCTGCCATGAGAGTAAAAGGCGGTGGAGTAGCCACCGGGTCTGCAGATTTCCCCTGCCCAGGGCAATGCCCAGCCCTGCACTCTCAGCCCCGCCCCTGCCACTCTGGGGGCCGCCGCAGAGTTCCCGGCAACAGGCTGTCTGGAAAGAGCATGGGCTCTGTTTGGGGCTGGCAGACAGGGTCTCCCCTCCAGGTCCCTTGTGGCCAGGCTGGCCCACAACACACAGAGAGTCTGGGGTTCCTGGTCAGGGTGGGAGGGGAGTTCAGGGTCTAGGAGGACTGAGGGAGGCCAGGATCCTTCAGATTCCCCCCAGACGCCCGTTCCTGTTCAGGCACCTTTATCTCTACAGCAGAACCCTCTCTGCCGCCCTGTCGCCCTGATCCCGCTGAACCCTCAGGTTGCCAGGCGCCCTGGGCGTTTCCAGCTATTCCACCCATAAAAGGACACAGGCCAAAGGGCCGAAGTGCAGCCTGAAGCTCAGCCCAGCTCAGCAACCCGGGGCCCCTCTCAGCCCCCTCCTGTCTCTAACGGGGCCGTGGCTCTGCCAGCCCAGAATGCTCTGCCCTTTGTCCTTGGCTATAAGGAGTCCCCCTCCCTAGCCTTGTTGCTACCTGCTATATACCACAGGGGGCCCGGTCTAACCTTGAGGTTCCAGGGTCAGGGGTCCCCTTTGAGCCCCCTGTGGTGCTGGGTCTCAGGGCCCAGGCACTTGCGTGTCCTGAACTCCTTGTCTGTGGCTTTTTCAGGGCAGGGTCCTGTTTTGTCTGAACCCAAGATCCAGCATGGGGGGCCCCTGGGATGGCACTGGGGATTTGGAGTCATGGCCCCCAGCACCTTCTGGAGCTGCAGGGCCTGAATGTGGGACATGAGGATTCCACACCTGGGGCCCCAGAAGCCCCTGCCCTCCTTGCCCAGTGAGTGTTGGCCTGAGAGGGCAGCCCCTAAGGTTATACGCTCGCGGCGCTCGTGGGGCAGGCCATGAGCAGGCCACGAGTGGGCAGGTGCAGGGCAGGACCCATGGTGTGCTGAGACGTGCCCACTGCTCGGGAGGCTGCAGGCCCAGGCTTCGGGGCGGGCAGCTGGCAGAGAGCCCCTCCACTTGCAGACAGGCCCTGCGACGACAACAATCCTATGTCCAGGCCACACGTAGGGGGGCGGTCTAGTCCCTGCAGTGCCAGCTCTGAGCACCACACACACTTGGGGGCTGTGCAGACCCCGGCCGGCCTCCATTTCTCTACCTGTCTAGGCCTTTGTGACCTTGTTTGCTCCCTCAGCTCTGCCCACAAGTGGGTGGGGAAGCTCCTGGACCAACCTCAGCTCAAGGGTTCCACAGTGACCTTGCTCAGGAAATCCGGCCCCCGGGGGAGCAGAGTGAGGTTGCCTCTGGGACGGGTGCGTAGGCAGGAGGCGTCGGTTTGCCTGGCAGGGCTGGCACAGGGTGGGAGTGTGGTGCCATCGCAGCATAGCCCCCTCCTGTGGAATAACTGAGCTCCACGGTGGCAGGGAAGGGCTACCATGTTCCCACCATGTCCCCTCCCCCAGTACAGGGACAGGGGGTGCCTGTAAAATGGATGAGCGGGTCCTCACCCCCTTCTTGCCTCCGCCCTTCAGCTGATCATTGTCCTGAGAAAGTTCCCCAACCCCAGGGCCAGATGGATACGAGATTCACTTCGGGATGGGCTGGGGTCCTGGTGGGGGTGGAAGCAGGCGAGGATCAGCCAGGCGGGGCCCTCGGTGGGCCCTGGGCCCCAAAGGTGGATGCAGACTGAGGGAGGCCTGTGCCTGCCCAGCACTCATGAGGCCCCAGGCCACTTGGCAGGCAGCATGCTCGTGGCACATCCTGGGGAGAAAGGGGCTTGGGGCTGCCACCAGCCACCTCCTACCACTTCCTGCACCCCAGCTGGTGGCCTCAGGACCCTCCTTCTATGAGGGCTCTGGCATCTCCTGCTCATCCTGCCAGCCTGCAACTCCAGCTACCCCTGTATGGCCCAGGACCTCAGCCAGTTTACCAGGCTCTGATGGTTCCAGACGCTGCCCCTGCCAGGGCTCCGAAGGCCTTATTGCCCCAGAATCCTTGCTCAGGAGGCAGCAGCTATGGGAGGAGATGCCAGGGGAGGCCCCACAGAGGCGGCGCCAGAGGGCTTGGGCAGAAGGTTCTGGAGTGGCCAGGGGACACGTGACAGGAAAGAAACAGACTCAGAGGGGACTTTAGGGTGGGACAGTGGGGTGGGTGGAGGCCTCCCGTGGGGTGAGCTGTGGCCAAGCTCCACCTGCACACAGGCTTCCAGGGCTGGGGTAGGGCCCGCTGACTGCTCCTTCACCACCAGGCCCCAGCTCCAGCCCTGTCTAAGTGTGAGGCATGGGCTCCCTGGGGCTCCCACAGGCCCCAGTGCGCCTCCAGGTATGGTCTTCCTCCACCATGCAGCTCGTTCCAGACAAACAAGGGAACTCTGGGAGCCCCAGAAAATCAGCCCCCCAGAGCGGGATTCTGTGTTTGCCAGGGGACATGATTCTTGTCCCATCCCATTTGCCGCCCTCTAACACCCATGGAATCTAGCATGTTTCCTGCTAGAATCAGCTCTGAGAGGGCTAACACCTGCATTTGACCCTTCGACTCCCCAGTGTCCAGCCTGGCACCCAGTAGGTGCTTTGCAAATGTCCTCAGGGCAGTGGTGTTGGCATAGCCCTTTATAAGCAAAATGATTGCTCAACCAGGAGGCAATCTCCATAGTGTCTAGAGATGCCCCCCCCCCAACCCTGCCACACACCCATGCCCAGGGTCTCCATCTGGAATTTTTTTGGTGTGAACACTTGATCTGTACCCACCCCACCAGGCCACCCCAGAGTCTGCCTTGCACCCCTCAGCTCAGTGTCTGCATGCAGCTGGTGCTCAATCAGTACACACAGCCATAGCTCAAACACTACTGGCATCAATCTCATCTGTGAGGGCGAGGTCAGGCTGGGGGTGCCTGGGGAGCGCGTGCCATCGAGGGCTGGCGGTGGCAGCATGTGGGCCTCTCTGAGGCAGCTAAAGTTCAGTGGCAGGCTTGACCAGGTGGCCGCTGAAGGTGATGTAGAGGTCCCCACGCTCACTGTAGATGGCGTTGTCTCGGTCACGCTGGAACATGCGCACCCAGACAGTGTCGCCTGAGGCTAGTGGCAACAGCAGGCTCTGGGTCTGCATGATGCTGCGCTCGCTGGGCTGTGCGTACAGCACGGCTGTGGCCTGCTGGTTGCACATGATGTGCAGGTAGGTCTCCTTGTAATTCCACGTGTGCACGGTGAGGCTCAGGAAGTACACACCAGGCACAGTGCAGAGGAAGTGGCCGGACACCAGGTCAAAGGCATCATTCAGGTTCACCAGCTCAGTGTCAAAGGACACAGCCTGGAAGGCGTCAGTGCTGTGCAGCCCCTCTCGCCGGCCCACTGAGAAGGCCGCATAGGTACGCTGGCACGGGGTGCCGGGCGGCCCCCCCTGCCCTTTCTGGCCCTTGTGGCCTCGGAGGCCCCGGGATCCTGGTGGGCCCTCCTTCCCGCTCCTGCCAGAGCGACCTCTGACTCCTGTCTCACCCTTCTCACCTGCAGGGGAGCAAGCAGAGGCCTCCAGTCAAGGCTTGGGATCCCCTTGCTGACCATCTGGCCTTGTGAGGGACCTCATTTCCCCAAACCTCAGTCTCCTTGTCTGTAACATGGGTGCTAACCCACCCCTCAGACAGGGCAATGAGAAGCCACACCCCAAAGTTGTGGCTGTTCTGGGACCTGTGTGGATTGTCAAGTGGGGACAGTGGAACAGTGGGAATGACAAAGGTCCAGGCAGCCGCCAAAGGAAGGGTCTGAACCGGGCTTTGAAAGACAAGAGGGCTGGGAAGTCGTTACTCAAGTCCAACCTCTTGGGGCCTGCTGTCCAGCCCCAGGCTGATGCCCTCTTGAGCTCAGCCTCTCTTGCCTTTTCCCAAGGGGCCCCAGCCCTCCCTTCCCCGCCTCCGGTGGGTACTGGGCCTGGGACGGCCCATGCAGGGTGGGGAAGCAGATTGAAGGGAGCCTCAGGCCCCCTCTCTTCACAGCCCAGGCCACCTTGCTTCCGCTTGAGGGGCCAGCTGGGGGGCTGCGGCCTTTACAAGGCTGTCAGGAGGAAAGGGACACGGCTCAGTGTCCCACCGGGCCCCAGGTGCCTTCCCAGAGCCACTCTGATAAATTGGGGCCTCTGAGCTTTGCTCTGCTCTCCTGGCCCCACTTTCCTATGTCCCTCAGTGTAGGTGTCCCTGTGGGGGCAGGGCGCAGGGTGGGCCACCTGTCCGCGACACTCACCTTTGAGGATTGAGATGTCGACAGTGGGCCGCACGTGGGGCAGCGGCATCCATGTCTCCCTGTCACTCTCAGGGGTGTATGAGCCGGGGGCAGCCGGCGGCCAGGCAGGGCGGCAGCAGGGCACGCACAGCTGTGGGGGCAGCCCCAGGCTGGGCCAGGCCGGCAGCGCCAGGAGGAGCAGAATGGCAGGTGCTGCCGTCGGGGCCAAAGCCTAGGAGATGGGGAGTGGGGGAGAGGAGAGGAGGGCATCTGAGGAGGAGGTGCCCCGCTGACCCCAGCCCCACAGCAGCCAGCTGTGCCCCCTTATTTGGGTCCCTGACAGACGCAACCTATGTGGGTCCCACAGCTGGGGGCCCTCAAGGTGCTGCAGCGGGCAGGGCCAGAGCCTCATCCCGCACCAGACAGAGGCCCGGCATGCCCTTCTCAGGTTCTAAGCGCCCACCCCTGACGGACATTGCTAGTGGGTCCCCACACTCTTTCACCCAGACCTGGATGTAGCCTCAGAATCCTCCTGCAGTACCACCAGGGCCACCACCCATCTAAGGGGCCTGCACGGGGAACCACACATACCTCCCCCTCCAGAGGCCTTAGCAAAGTGGCCCAGGCAGCCCCACCCTGTCTGAGCTGGTATATTCAGGCTTCTCAGGGGCTGCTCCCTCTGCAGACCCCAACCCCTCCCAGGGCCTTAACTTTGGGCTGTAGCAGGCACCCTAACCGCATGCGGTCTGGGAGCCCTGGTCGGGCCCTCGTGGCTGGGGACCCGACGCCTGGCAGATCAACAGGAGCTGCCACAGCAGAGGTGGGGCTTTGAATCAGCCCTCCAAAGCCCCGACCCTCCTGTGGCCGCAAGGAACCCTTGGGGAGGGGCAGCTTCAAGGAAGGGCAGTACCCCAAACTCTGAGGCTGGGCCTGGGTCCCAGGCTGGGTGGGGCCTATGAGGCAGTTTCTGCCTGCTGCCTAGCTGGGCAGAGAGCAGCACGCTAGTCCTAAGCTCCCAGGGGAGAGGGAGGGCTGCTTGGGAGGCTACCTCATGTGACCCTTCACAGTGTCATGGAAAAGATAGTATTTAACCCCCATGAGTCCTGGGCCTCCTGCCTCCTCAAACCTTCCCTTAGGACACCCTGACCCCTGGCCCATCTATGTCAGGTGGGACACCACTTCCCCGTTCAGCCAGCAGTCACTGGGGTCCCTGGGTGAGCCCCACATGCACCTGGGCCTCAGTTTCTCCCTGGAAAGTGGGCCCTACCTGTCCTGGTCTCTCCAGAGGCTGCATTTGGGAGGCTCAGCCAAAGGTTGGCGTCTGAGGTAGGAGTCGTCCCTCTTCCCTGTAGCCTGACCTTGCTGAGCAAAGACCCAGGCACCCTCCTCCAGGGAGCCCTCTAGAACTTCATGCCTTGGCAATGTCCTTCCCCTTGCACGTGGATCCAAGACCCACTTTCAAGCTTAGCTTTCCCAGCAGATGGGACCCCCTCCTCTCCACCCACGTCCCCACCCCATCCCCCAGAGCCCAGGAGACCCTGAAGTCCCTCCTGGACTCCTTGCATGGAGGGATCTGACAGGAGTGGGTATCTCCAGGGGATACCACCCGTGCTATTGGAGCCCCCGCCTCGTCCCACCGGCAGTCCGGGATCCCCGGCATCCTCGCCACCTGGCCTGCCCAGAGGTCAGCCTGGGTTGGAGCCTCCCTCCTGTTGGGGTCTAGCGGGGAGCACAGACCCCTGCAAGCCCAGCCTGCCCAGGGTGGCTATGAATACCCAACTCACCCCCATGTTCCCTGTTACCATTTCACAGTCGGTGCTGCTGCCCGTCTGGCTGTCTCCAGCGTCACTGCCCCAGCGGCCTGTGAAAGAGCCTTTTCATGCCCGCCCCAGGTGCCCACAGCTTCCCCTGGGCCATCCAAGACCAACAGGACTTCGGCCAGCTCCAGAGCTCCCTGCAGGAGGCTCACAGGACCCTGCCGCCTGCCACTGGCCTCCCTCTGCCAGCTGGCTACCTGCCAAAGGGTCTGCACAGCCTTGCCACGGGGGCTCCAGGGTCCTCCTGCCCGCCCTGGGCCTCCTCCACTTAGGGCCCAGTGGCTTAGGGGAGAACTGGAGAGGCCAGAGCTGCAGCTGGGAGGAGGCTGATCAGGGGGCTGGAGGCCAAAGTGGGGTGGGAAGACCAGGGACCAGCTGGTGACAGTGACAACCTTCTGTCTCTGGCTGAGAAGTGAGGGCTGGGGCTGGTGGATGGCGCCCGGAAGAGCAGCGTCTGGGCAGGCCCCCGGTGTCTGCCCTGTGCTCTCCCGGGTCGGGGTGCCCAGCAGACCGAGAAGCCTGCCACGGCACCCTGGTGGGGGGCGCTCAGTATCAGCCTACCCTTTCAGTGGATAAGGGTGGTGTCCCTATTATGCCCGCCAGTGAGAATGGCTCACAGGGCCCCCCGGGCAGGGGCAGGCAGGGCCTTCACCCACCGTGAACCTGAAGCTGAGCCCACGCCAAGGCCTAGCCTGGTCCCTGCTTTGAGTCTGAAGAGCTGGATACTGGACCCAGGTGCAGAAACCTGTGCCTTGGCCTGTGGACATGGGGACATGTAATTCCTAGAAGTGTACCCCCCCACACACACCAAGCCAGGCCACCTGTAGACACCAGCCGTGGCCTGGGAAACAAGCCGGCCATGGGCAGCCCAGGGCGACACCATTTCTGCTGTTCCAGGCGTGGCCACGGGTGCAGTTCTCTCCGCAGCTCCCCCACTCCAGTCCTCCGCACTGATGGCCAGGGAGGGGCAAGAATGGGAGGACGGGGGCGCTGAGGTGGCCCCGTCTACGGGGCGCTTCTTGTGGCAGGCTGAGGGTGAGTGGGCTGGTGAGGGCTGTGGGCGGCAGCTACACCAGCTAGAGCCAGTTCCCAGACGGGCCCCATGCCCGAGGAGATGACAGCTCACTCCCGCAAGCCCTGCGGCTCCCTTAGGGACAGCTGTCTTCACCTGGAGGGTGACACAGACAGAGGGGGTGCGAAGACCAAGGTCCTGAGTGCCCACTCACCTCCCTGCAGCCCCTGTAGCCCTCGTGCCTTGTGGTTTGGCTCTGAGACTCGAGGAAGTCCAGCAGGCGGCACTCAAGGCCGTGAGTGGCCCAGGCCCCTGCCTCTCATCACCGTGTCCCTGTGGAGTCGATGGGCCCCGGGCAGGCTGGGGGCTCTTCTCTGCCCACCCAGTTGTTACTTCTGGGATCCCAGAGGAAGGCAGATGCCCAAGCTCTGCTGCTCCCTGCATCTGAGCCTTGGTTTCCCCACCTGTAAGTGGGTGCCCATGGGCTCAGAAGTGAACGGAGTGGACCCTGTGCTGGATGGGCATGGGGGAAGCATAGCCGTCAGGGGTACCAGAGGCTTCGCCGCGCAGCAGGGCTGATGTCCTGCCGCGTGCCTCCCGCCGAGCAGCACCCCCAAAAGAGATGGGCATTCACTGTGGTCCCCTTGGGGGAGGGGACGGCGAGTTAAATGCGCCCTGCATGGCGGGGATGGGTCTGGGCTGAGCCCAGGCCCCTGGAACCCGGGTTGGGTGCGTTCGCTGCAGCAGGCAGGCAGGCAGGCTCTGAGCGGAGGTGGTCAGCAAGCACTAAGGGTGACTCAGCGGGTGGCAGGAGGACGAGGCTCCTGGACAGAAATAGCCGTCGCTTGGACATGCTGCCCAACATCTCCGTGACAACGGGAGGGTGGCGGGTGTTGTGGCCCCACAGAATCAGCTGCCCGCAAAGGGTGTGCAGAGGCTGAATCTCCGCAGGTAGCAACGGGCCCTCCTGGGGTGGACACAGCTGTCTGTCCCCACCCCAAGCCCCGCAGAGAGCCTCAGGGAGTTTGACTTGCTGCCTGGAGCCATGGCTCAGCTCCAGGACCTGGTCATTGGTCTCTATAGGGCGACAAAATTTCCAGCCTCACAGATGGCCAGCAGGGAACCACCGACAATGAAGGCCAGTCAGGCAGCACCCCCGGGACTGTGTCTGCCACCCTCCCCGCCTGGTGTCACCGCCAAGCTTCAGAAATAATGAGCTCCGAACAGCCCCCCTCCCTTAGCTCCCGTCAGCTGCTACCCTCCAGGAGGCCTCCACAAGAAGACCCTCAGCGCTGATGGGGACACTGCCTTGGCCACAGGGTGATAATGGGGCCTAAGTGGCAGGAGTTCGCACAGTGGGAGTCATTATCTCTGGGCCTCTTAATGGATGTGTCCCTGAGAGTCCTGCCTATGAGCTGCGGCTGGGGAAGAGACAGCAGCGGGGAGGGGGAGGCACAGCAAAGCGAGCCTCTCTGCCACCCCACCTCTCCACAAAGTGCCTGGCCCTCCCTGGGGAGCACAGTTCTGCCCAGAGAAGTGGACACAGGTGCAGGGTGGCGTGGGGTCAGGTGGGTAGCAGGGGCTCTGCCATTTCCTTGCACCCACACCCCCGCCTGACTCACTAGCTGGCTAAGAAGGGGGCTGGCCAAGGAGACTCGCCACCCAAAGGTGACCAAGGTGGGGGGGCCTGGAGGTCCCCCAGAGCCTCGGCTTTCCCACCTCCCAGGTCAGGGTCTGCCTGTGCCCGGTGCAGGGAGAGGTCTTACGGGTTTTCCCGGGGGCTGGCACCATCGAGGGGTGTTGTGGCACCACAGGGGGGCCCCAAACCCCCAGGGCAGAGTCCTTCAGGGGAAGCCAGGCTAGCAGTGTCCTGACACCTCTGCCCCAAGTTCACCGCCCTCTAATGAGGGGAGAGTCTGCTGGCCTCGCCATGACAACATCCAGGGCCCGTGGAAGAAAAAGAGCAGGTTATTGTTGCAGTGCCCAGAGGCTGTGACGAGTGGTGTGGCTTCTGTGGGATGAGAGGGGACCCTTACTCTGAAGCATCCTACAGGTGGCCCAGATGGGCAGAGAAACCACCTAGGGATGGTTTTGACTATGACTCGGAGCTGGGGCGGGACCTGGCCTCCCATGGTCAGCTTGAGTGATGAGGCGGGGTCTCTACCATCCTGGGCTGACCCCTCTGCAGGTGGTAACCAGGCTCACCCTGGGCACGAGGAATTGCCCCTGCAGAGGTTCCACTCTGAGCCCATGCCACAAGTGGAAAGCTAACATGCTCTTTATTTGAGGGATGGGGGTCAGGTCCCTGGCCGAGTCTGGCCAAGCACAGTGGAGCAGCTCTTCTGTGGCGCGAGCCCGGGTCACTGATAGCCAGCCAGTCGGAGGACAGTGGGGTAGTGGGCACGGTGGGCCATGCACTTCTGACGGTCGATGAAGAGGCTGTTGGTTTTGACGGCGATGTCCTTCTCCAGGCTCATGCGTGTGTCCTCCAGGTTGCGCAATGACTGCTCTGCTTCTAGAAGCTTCTCCCTCAGTGCTGAAAGGGACATGTTCAGCTCCTCTACCTCACTCACCAGCCTGGGGGATTTGGAGGAAGGAGGTGTGAGTTGGGCTGTTACCAGGACACTGGACCTTTGGGCTGGGAAGG